AACCCTACGCCACCGATTGTGTCGACCATAAGCTCTCGTCATATGACGGCAGCGAAGATGTTAATGAATACCTGCACCACCCGTTGAGCAAGGGCAATTGTATCATCGGCTGTATGGCACAGGCGACGATGGACAGGTGCCAGTGTTGGCCACCGGAGTTGCCGTTCATGAGGGGCAGTCTGGAGGACGCGCAGGAAAATCTGCTCAAATGGTGCGATTGGGACGGCGATGGGCTGGACGTGGCACCGAATCAGCCTGATAAACCGGCAAATGCAACCTGGTTTCAATATTGTTTTACCGTACATGAAACACTGTGCAAAGCCAAGTGTAACTCCGATTGCAAGTATGTTAATTACAATACTAATGACATTAAACACATTCCCTGACCACTATTGTATTGACTAAATTATGGTGATTTTGGTAAACATGGTATTTTTTTTATTTTTTTTGTCATAGAATAGACAGATATCGGATCATAAAGGAAGTCCGTCAGTGGCCGTCCACTGAACGCATTGTATTTTATTTTAGTTTAATTTTAAACATGACAATTTTGTACCATGATGAAATTATTTGTTTGCTTTGTGTGGCAATAGGAGCACAGCAAGAAAGGTGACTATCTTTACGATATGAGGCAGTGCTGCGCCATTGTGTCCATCAGGTACTGGAGCGCCGAGCAAGTGATCAATCAGTATCAGCCCAAGTTTGAGGTGCTTTTGCATTACCCCTAACAATAGCTTACATTTAAATTGTGACAACACATACAGACTGCTGAGTTCTCGTCATACATCGGGGGCTTGTTATCGATGTGGGTCGGGTTTTCACTACTGGGCCTTTACGATGTGATCGAGGGTATTGTAATCTACATGTATAAACGTGTTAAAGAAAACGCCCAGGATAATAATAAGCTAGGTGGTCTTACCGGACTCAACAAACTGGCCCCGATTATTGAGCCCATACAGGTGTTTAACACTAATAACAACACTACTAAATACCCGGACCCTTACGGTAATCACCAGTTGTACCGACAGCGGTGGCGACGAGCGGCCCGCGTGGCCACTATTGTCGACCGCTGGACACATAGCGGTAATCAAACAAATAAGTAACAAAATAGTGATATTATTTTGTTCGTACAAATCACTTTAAATTATAATATAGTACATTTATTTGGTATTTAATTATCTTTTAAGTTTAGTTTATTCTATTAAAGGTACAATGTAATTTTAGTTATTAATTTTGCAATTAATTTACCCGTTATTTCAATACACTATAGTCTTCATAGTATGTGAATGTTAAAAGCGGTCGCCAATAGCTGTGTTATATAATTGATAATTACATTATCATGTACATTACCATTGGTAATATCATTGGTATTATTATTATTAGTATTAATTAAATTAATTTCGTCTCTCTGTCTGTCGACAAGTCCCTCAAGTCTTTCAATCACTTGCCGTTGTTTTTTAATGTCTTGCAATAGTTTGTGGTTTTGTTGGTCGAGTTGTTGGACATCTTGTATTAGTTGCCCATTGAATGCCTCCATTTCCCGATACCTGTGTCTCTCCTTTTCAAATGTCTTGATATAATCGTTGAGATCATTGACACCACTCTTAAGCCGAGAGATTTTTGCGGCGAAACAATTGATTACACTTTTTATGATATCGTTTTCATTATCCGTATTATTATTGTTGTATTCAAACACTTCAACCAAATCATAGTCTCTTAAGATCTGTTCAACAAATGCTATGTTATTATTGTTGTTATCCATACGTATAGTTGTTATAATTATTTCATGATTTTAATTATTGGTAAAATTAAACATTATTTTAAATGTGTTTACATACACATTTGTATTTCTACTGAAATAATGTTTTTGATATTTTATGGTTGAAAAATTATTATATTTTTGTTGTGATAACTTTGTCGTTAACTTTTAATTTTATCATTTGTTTATTTTATTTGAAATAATCATTTTATTTTAAAAATAAAATTTTCAAGATCATTAATAAAGTAAATCTAATCTTATTTATTATAGCCTTTCCAAAGTCCTTGTGAAATAAACATAATTAAAAATATTGTAATTTGCAATAATTTGTAATATTTTACTACTATTATATTGTTTTACTATTACATATTTGTAATTGTAAATTAAATGAAATTACATTTATTACAGAATTTATTATAAAACATATAAATAAAACATTTATGCCATTAACACCAATTAAATAACATTTATATGTACTTACAATAAGATTGCAATGTTTTAAGTTATTATTTTGTTTTTATTATATTAAAAATATTATTATAATAAAATTAGCATATTTGTATAAATGACATGAACAACTGACAAGTGAATAACACAGCGAGTGTTCTAGATGTCATTGATATTGATGCCACCGCAACACCTAATACACCAAGTACATAAACTTTTATCAAAACAACCCTCATCAGTACCGCACATAGTGCTCGTTGGTCTAAAATATCAACATTTTAACGAGATGTTTCTCCGCCGCATGTCTGCCAACCAGACAGACATATCATTGACCCGATATGTCTCGTACTCATCCTCAGCACATATCCTCAGCTTTACCATTAAAAGTAAAGTAAAACCAACCAATAATAAATGCATTAAGGCAAAAATATTTTGTCCAATCAGAGCACTGGTCACTTTACAAGATATTCAAATGTCTAAACGTTGAGAACTACTACCTCCTGATGGCGGCCATTGCTTTGCTATCACTAGTAGTTAGCCTAAAGCGCCGGTCTATGAAAGCATTTTTGCCGACCCTCTGGTCGTACGGCTCGGTATTGTTGTCCGACGTCTATACCATTCAGTACACGGCGGGCGCCGAAAGACTGTTGGCCGGCCTTTGGCTACTGGTTTGTACCGTATATTTGGCCGCATTCGCCGGTTATCTCCGGGAACTACTCATACAAGTGCCGCCCATTGATTGGATAGACTCGTTGCAGGACTTGTACGGTAAGCCCCAGTGGCGGAGCCGTAACATTCAGACCTTTAGATATGATGACTTTCACGTGTATTTATATAAGCCCAAAAAGTTTGGGGGCTTAGCGGCCGACACGGCCCGTCACCTGCACTCCCGGTTGGACCCAATGGTTAGTCCCGTTAAACTGTTTTTGGACCCAACAACTGATCTGACCAAAGCTCTGGATTATAAGTCCGTCATTGAGGGTAAATCTGTGCAGATTTACAGCAAATTGTTTTGTAATTTAATTAAAAAATATTATATCGAC